CTGCATGGATTGGATAAACCTCTGTGTACCTCGGCAGGAATCTGCTATGCTGTAACTCAAGCCTGTCCACCATGAATCTGCCATAGTGTAGCTCACAGCTTGCCTGAGAGACACATTTAGGACGCTGTTTTTAGCTCCACTTTAGAACTTTTTTTAAAGCTTTCTCAGGTTTTTGGTAGAAATTCTTGCTACCACATCTGGGCACCAAATGTAGACCAAAAAAAAAAAAAAAAGGAAATGTGATATTTTATTCATGCACCCCAATAAAGCTTATCTGAGGATCAGAGGAAAAAGACAGCCACTATATTAAACATAGAAGTCAGGCAATGGTAACACATGCCTTTAATCCTAGTATTCTAGAGGCAGAGATCCATCCAGATTTCTGTGAGTTCAAGGTCACACTGGGAACAGAGCCAAGCATGGTGACACATGCCTTTAATCCCAGCACTAACTATAGAGGTCTGGAGGTCTGTACAGACAGAAAGGAAGTGATAGAGCTGGGCAGAAAGAGGAGGTGATGTAGCTGGGCAGAGAGAGGAAGTGAGATGGCAGGGACAGAAAGGACATAGGCATGGGTATGGAGAGGTACAGGAAGTAGCTCTCTTGGCTGAGGATACCCTAGGGTAAGAGCTTGTGGTTGTAGCTTGTTCTGTCCCTCTGATCTCTCTGCTTTCACCCCAATATCTGGTTCCAGGTCTTTTATTAATAAGACCATTTAGCAATTCGTCTTACACATAGGAGAATGTAAAAAACATGCACACTTGGGTTAACTTGCAGCTAGTCTAAAATAATTTGTTGGAATGTAATACAAGGCATTCAGAGATTTTACACTTACTTAGATATGTATGTATGTATGTATGTATGTATCTTTGAACATACAGTTGAGGGAAATAAACACTGAAACAAAAAGGTACAATCAACCCCCCTAAGGCTACTCACTGTGAAGAGTGAGACAGGGCCAGGCCTCCTCTGAAAAGGAAATAATGAGGCTTTAGAACCAGAGTCTTTGCCTTCCCCAAGTTTAAAAAAAAAAAAAAAGTCTAGTTATCTTTCTCAAACACTCACACCACCAGCTGCTCTATTAGTATTTCCAAGAGAATACTAAGATTCCAAAATGTTCATTAAAGGCTGTGGCATGTGCCAGTAAACAAGATTAGAATTAGAAAAGAACTTCTTCCTTTGTCTGGCAAAGAGAAAAGCAGACGATATTCACAGCCCCAGAGGGCTGCTCCTCTCAGAGGTGTCTGGGATGAGTGCTTGTTCAGGAGATCATTGAGTCCACATTCTCCAGGAGTTCCTTCCAGGTTATTCCTACCCTGTCCCTTCCACATTAGGTAACATTAATAATTTATCCCTAAGGAAGGGAAATTCAGCTAAAGTTGTTTTTCTCACTCCACTTCCTAGAGCAAGAAGCAAGGATTAGTAGAATAGCCTTGTTGGACGCTGAGCTTCTGAAACTAGATAGATCTTGGGGGAGTGTAGAGAACTAGATATGCTGTCATTCTTTATTCCAGTTAGTTCAACACCCTAAGACTTTGTTGCTCAACACCCCAAATCATCTACATCATGGTCATCTGAGAGACTTATTAAAAATGGAAGGAACCCTTTGAGTATCACCCCAAATTCCTCTAGATCAGATATACTCTGGGCTTGCAGAGCTGGAGTAGGCTTCTGGAATGATGCTTTTGCCCCTGTAAGTGTGATTACACCCAATGCCATGAAAGGAATCCCACCCTTGGCACCAGTAGACCTCAGCTGAAGCTCTCTACCACTTACCAACAGCCAGACATTTGGCAGCCCAGCCCCTCCGAACCACCATAAAATAGCTGCCAGTGTCAGAGAACAGTCTGGGGCACAGCTAAGGGTCTAGCTGAATCAGCTTTGTTGACAGGGCCCCGATGAACATGGAACCCCCAGTAGACCACTATAATGGGGTCACGCCAAGGAGGAAAATGCACAAAAGCAAGGAGGAACCCCAGGAAGTCCTCAGACACCAGCATCTGCCTGAGCACCGGCTCTATGCCCATTCCAAGGAGAATCCTCTCTTCCCATTTTGTGAAGCCTGAGAGCTTTCCTATTTTTCACAAGCTCCAGCTCCCCTCTCAACAAAAATGTGCTAATGCTTCCCACATAGCTAATGTACCTTTGCCTGCCAGATAAGTCCTAGGGTGTCGCTTGAACCCTCTACTTATTTAATAAAAGCCAGCATTCAACATTTTCGAATCATGTCCACTCTTCTTCCTCCTCCCCCTCCTCCTTCCTAATCAACAATAGAGGGTAAAGGAAAGCAAACATGTGCTGTGTAGAATGTATAACCCTTTGTCTTTGCCCTCGGCTCAGTATCGGGAAGCAAATTTCCCAGATTGGCGAAGAATTTTCAGTATTGATGACTTCGCCCTCAGCTTCTTAGGTACCGCTTTGGTCTTCTAATTCCAACCTTAGCATACTGCATTTGTGGCATATATTGAGTATCTGTTATGTGCAACGAAGACTTGTAGATGAGCACAGGATCGCTTCTAACTGCAGGGCTCTCACAAGATTCACAGTCCCACCCTTTCAAACACAACTCTTTCAGGTTTGGAAGGGACCCTTCTAAACTCCGTCCTCCTTGCTGTATTTGATCCATAACTACCCTCCCTGATGGCAGGGTTTTCCTCTTTTCTGTAGGTAGAAGTGAAGGAAAATGAGACAAGAGTTCCTTTATACTTCCTCCTCCCTCTGAGAGAAAGATCTGGACAATCGGGAAAATAGTCACTATCCACTGACGTCTTTATTGCAGGCCAGGTACTTTCTATGCACACTAGATTCATCTCCCATTAATCTTCATGTCTGGTTTCCAAGAGAGCAAACGGAGATACAGAGAGGGAGATAACCCACTTGAACTCTGAGATCATATAGCGAGAAAGTAAATCTAAGGAGTTCCACAGCCCCCATCTCCTCTTAGAAATGAGGGCTTGGCCTTTGTTCTAGATAGGATTAGCTGGTTTTCCTCACGCCCCTGAGTTGCCTTGAAAGAGGAGCGCTCATCTTTTATAAGTGAAAACAAAGCTGTTCGAGGCCCAGGGTAGGTCCACCTAAAGTGGAAGAGAAGTCCTTAAGGCGCTATGTTCCTTAGGACAGGATCCTATAGGCTGAGTTTGGGCCATCGGTAGTGTGTGGAATGGCATCACTGATCTGCCCTCATTCTCTCTCTCTCTCTCTCTCTCTCTCTCTCTCTCTCTCTCTCTCTCTCTCACACACACACACACACACACACACACACACACAATGTTCCAGAAGAGAAGGAGCGTAGCAGACAAGGCTGGGAGATGGGGTAGATATAGAAAGGCGAAGAATGACAAATGGGAGGAGACTTAGAAGTAGGGACTGACTGGAGGCCTAAGGTTGTAAAGAGGGAAAGAACAATAAAACCAAGCACTAGATCAGCCCTCGATTGCTAGTCCTCGGTTCCTTGGGCTGAGTGCAGCTACACCCAGCTGACTAAAGGGTCTAGGGCCAAGGGATTTAATGAGAGTCCTAAGTTTTGGCCTCTTTACTTAGGGCTAAGAGCAACACACAGACAGATGCTTGGTGGAGGGGCTGGTCAAGATAGAGCAGGGCTTGAGAATTTTCCAAGTAAACATACCATGGGACTAGATAGTGGATCATAGGCCTGAAGGTGACTGCAGGAGGTAAGTCAGGGAAAGAAGAGACTCCAAGGATCCCTGGGGCCGGGGAGATGACTCAGACGGTAAGGTGTTTGCCCCAGTAGCCTGGAGCCCATGGGAAAGTGGGAAGAGTGAGCCAGCCCACAAAATTCTCCTCTGACCTCCACATGAATGAGTGCCATGCCCTCCCCCCCCAATTATAATAAATGAATAACGTTAAAAATCGAGAACAGGAATGTCTGGAATGCCCAACACAGTGCAAAGCAACAAAGCAGGTCCATATTGTGCCATGTTTTACAGCCACAAAAAAATTATACTTTGGAAAGATATTTAACAACATGAAATGTCCCCACAAAATATCAAAAAGGAAAGAAGCACAGAGAACTCCATGATATGATTCCAAATTCCTTGAAAATGTGTGCCTATTTGTACTGGCAGGAAATACCCTAGAATGTGCATGACTTTCAAACCTTATTTTCTGTGTGTTCCAAAACTTCTGGAACAAATGCTACTTTTATGATGGCGAAAAGTAGTGTAGACGTCTGGCAGCTTTGATTAAATGGTGAGTTGCACTGAGTTTTTATTCCTTATCTTCCTATCAATGAAATAGGGGGGCCTTTCTCTTGTGTGCTCTGTTCCTAGGAGTCCCCACAGGACTAATGATAAAGTGAGAAGAAAAGGGAGAAATGTAAAGTCGCTTCAAGACTTAAATGAAACCCAGAAGGTGGTAGTGCACACCTTAAATCCCAGCACTCAGGGAGGTAGAGGCAGGTGGATCTCTATGAGTTCAAGTTCAGCCTGGCCTACAGGGCTACACAGAAAACAAAACCAAACCAAACCAAGACTTAAATGGAGGTAGGAAGAAACCCCCAAGGAAAAACAAATTCCTGGGGAGTGGCTTTGGCCTACCAGAGATGGAGTCTGTCTACAGAAGCTACCATACAGAGGTGGAGCTCGATCTAGACCTTGGCAAGGGAAAGGGTTTCAATCAATGAAGGCCTGTTGCTTTGGGCTGGAGTCATGGATCACTGGCTCAAATCAGGGAAGCCAGAGGTGTGCTAGTTCAAGAGGAAAAAGATCGTTTTACCTAGTTCATATACTGGGGAGAACTTTCAGAGGGTCCAAAAACCAATGAGAAATCATTACTACAGATTCTATCCTCTGCAGGTCACACAGGCCACCGCTTTCCAACCACATCTCTTTAGAAACTTGGGAGGACTGGAAGGCTTTCCTTAGGACTTGCAGGTCCCTTTACAGCTGCGACTCACTAACTCTAGAGAAGGCACCATTCTTGAGAGACGAAGAGAGAAAAAGAATAAGAACAGGTCTTCATGATTTCAAAATAGGGGGGATAGGGGTGGTATTTGCTGCCAGACAGCCTGGCAATGCTACTTATTCCATGACAATAGGGAGAAGAGTGGCCTAGGTGTGGCCATGTGGACCCCACAGAGGGTCTGCGCTCGGTAGTCTTCACTTCCTTCCGTTTCTGACTTGTTAACTCCCTGCAATAAAAGTGATGCTCTTCCCGCCTGCTGTCTTCTGTTTCTGTGTGTTCTGTACGCTCTGCATTTCCTGGTTTACAATGGTGGAGCTAGGTTCCACTATAGGAGTCCACAGAGTGTCTATTAACTTTCAGCGTCTCTACGCTCAGCTAGGCCCTGTCAGATGCACTGGAAATGAAGAGGAGAACGAGAAGAGATCTTCCTGTGTTATTTTTCCTCGGAGAACAGATGAACAAATCTGAAGAACAAGTGTACAGTGAGGTAGAGACTTGATAAATACTTGTGATGCTTAATATTGATTGTCATCAAGAATGGCCTGAGAGCATGTCTGTGAAGAAGCTTTTAGACTGGATTAGTGAGGTGGGAAACCCCCTAACTGTGGTTGGCACTGTCCTATGAGATGGGGTCCAGGACTGAATAAAAATGACAGGGGGAATTAGTGTGGCATTCATCTTTCTGTCTTCCTGACCACAGATGCAATGTGACCAGTTGCCTCAAGACTTTGCTTCTCTGACTTCTCCACCATGGCGGACTGCCCCCTCAAACTGTGAGCCAGATAAACCCCTCCTTCCTTAAATGGCTTTTGTCACATAGTCTGTGACAGCATGAGAAAAATAACTATTTTAGGAAAAACCTAAGTGGGAAGAGAGAAAGGAGGGTGTGGGATTCGTTTCTTCAGTTCCGGAGCTTTCCTGATCAGACAGCTCCAGCATCTTCAGACAGAGGCTTCTAGTACAAACATCAAATGTAGACCTGAGACTCAGTGCTTACACAGAGCGCATTCAGAGGACTACCCCAGAAATATCCCTGGAGTGACAAGGAAGGCTGAACACATACTATGCCGTGTCTTGTTCATGGAGTCAAAGGTCTGCTTTTCTTTTCGGTGGCCTCCTATCTATCTATCTATCTATCTATCTATCTATCTATCTATCTATCTATCTATCTATCTATCTATCTACCCCTCTCCCTCCTCTCTGTCTCTCTCCCTCCCTCTCTTCTCCCCCCCCCACCCCTCTTCCTGCTGTTTGTGTGCACACGCACACTCACACAGGAGCCAAAAGTTGATGAGTGCCATCTTTGATTGCTTTCTGTTCCTCATTCTTGCTCACGGATACTGCTAGGCTGGCTGGCCAGCAAGCCCCAGAGATGTTCCTGTCTCTGCCTCCCTAGTGCTGGGAGTACTTAGAGTTATGAGTCGCCAAGCCCTGCATGCCTAGTGTTGAGGATCGGATTCAGGTCCTCATGCTTGCACAAGTATTTCACTGACTTAGCCATCTCTTTGGCCTTTTTATGGTGTCTTGATATGTCTTTAGGCATTTTCAATGTTAAAATGTATGTATGCATGGGGGGGAGAAACTTTAATAATAAAATCTTACACTTGATACTTTCCTTACTCAGAGGAACAATGGAAAGTGATGGCCTATGCCCTATTTCTCAAGGCCTTATTACCTATGCTCTCGATGGCAGTTGTCACAACTGATATCTTCTCTTTAGTGGAGCTGCCTCGACCATTTCCCTCGAGCCTCACTGAATCACCCCAGTCCTTTTTATTTCAGCTTCTCATCATATTCCCCACAAGTAGGACTGGAAAGCCCGTAAGGTCTGTGCCTAAAGGCTAGATGGCAGTTACTTTATGCTGGTCATTGACTCCTAGTGTCTTCTGCTCCCTGGGGGGTCTAGTGTGGCCTACATCTCAACATAAACCAACTACACCTGAATTGTTCAATGTCATCAGTCTTGAACCTTGTTTTATGTCACTATTATTCTAGTCTGTTTCCTGTGACTTGTTCAAGTTCGTAATATAAAAACTCTAATACCCAAGGTACTAGTCTACAGGACCACATAAGCATTGAGGGGCAAATCTTGCTTTTCCTGTTGCAGATACTTTTTCTCAGTTTGCTAAGAATGCAAAAATGAGTTCTGGGGGCCAGAGAGATAGTTCAGGTGGCATGAAGACCTGAGTTCCATCCTCAAAACATATGCAAAAATGCTAGTGTGGTGGTGTGTGCTTGTAACCCCAGCACTGAGGAGGTGGAGACAGGGACCTCTCAAGGGCTCATGGCCTAGCCAAATCAATAAGCTCCCAGACAATGGAAGACGCTGTCTAAAAAACCAAGGTGGGTAACACCTGAACACACACACACACACACACACACACACACACACACACACACACAGACTCACACACACACAGTAGCATGTTGAGACTTTGCTGGGCTGAGGTTAGATTCTCCTGTGTCAGTTCCCCTAACCCTGATGATTATAGCATAATCATTTATTTAATAAGCATGTATTAAGGGCCAATGGTGCATACAACCAAGAGGCAGAAAAACAAATGTTTGCCAACTAGACCTATGTGACTGTGAACAACATCTTCGGACAGTGAGGAGCAGAGAGGAGGAATGTGTGACAGAAACCAGATGCCCCCACCATCTTGTGTAAGAACTCCTGGGTTGATGACCCCTGTCCTGAACTATAGCAAGCTGGCTTGTCACCGAGCTGTCACGTGGGGCAGGAGCAAATGCCTTGCTGAGGTCTCGGGTCGATTACATCTATTGCTTGTATGTTATCTACATAGCCTGTCACTCTATCATAGGAGGAAATTAAATTGGCCCAACTTGATTTACCCCTTGCAGCTACATAGGCCTTGCCCACTCTGGCTGACTACACATTGATTGTTTGATGATTTGCTCTAGCGCCTTCTCCAGAAGCCAGGTTAAGCTCATAGGGTTATAAGAAATGTGGTCACCTTTTTTTTTTTTTTTTTTGCTTCCTAAGAGATGGGCAGCATCGTGACTGCAAACTGTGAAGCTTCAGAGGTAACACCCCCTCTCTGCAAATGCTCACAATAATTGCTGCTTCCTCCCCAGTGGCTGCTGGCAATTCCCTGTGTCCATTCAACTGAACGTCACGAGTCCCCGTGGGTTTAATTTCAGGCAGCTTTTTGCAAAGGATGTTCTGGTCTATTTTAGGCGGACTAGCCCCAACCACATCGTGTGGTGCAGAACAGGGACTCCATGGCTAGAAAACAAACCTGAGAGTTAAACACAAAGAAAGACAAAGAAATATCCAATGATACCTAGCAGCAGCCTTGGGTGGGGCTGAAAGGGGATCAGAAATCATGAGAATTCCTGGGAACCGGTTCCCTGGGAGACAATATGTCTGCCTGTGGTTGCTTTCAGGGTGCAACCCACAGCCCTTACATCAAAATATGATACCTTTTGGTAAAGACAGAAGTCAAAGTGGACATTAAAACCTCTGCTATTTTAAATCCCTTTGTTATCCATGCTCCCTCTTTGTCCACCGGGAACAGTGTTTTCCTAGCTCTTCTTTTGTGTGATATAAATGAAAATCCTTCTGGTAATATCTCACTGAAGACTGTTTGGACATTCTGCCACGTGCCTGCATCATTTGGCTGCTGTTTTGCTCCTCTGTGGCTTATCCTTGCCTCCTCCCTCTGGTTCTCTTCTCCCTCTTCCAGCAGATTTCACCTCTTTCGTGTCGGTCCCTAAACACACCCCCTATCTTGTTGCTGTCTGTCTGTCTTTTCCACCTTCCAGTGCTTTCTTGAGTTTCCCAAGCTACTTAGGCAAAGGGCGCCTACTTTGCCCCCATATTTCTTCACCTGTTTTTGATTTTTACACTCTATTGGGTAGAACAAACTTCTCAGGGACTCCTTGATTTTCAGAGTATTCTGTCTGGGTCTTTTTCTCCTCCTTCAGCTTCTACTTAAGTAACAATTTTGTCTTCACCTTTAAATCTCTACTTCTTCCCAAGACATGAATCATGATGAACTATTATTGAATAGAATGATTCTAATGTACCATTAGAGTTCATCAATTCATGTAATTTATTCTGCCAATATATTTAATATATATGTTCTGCTCGAACACACACACGCACACGCACACGCACACACACACACACACACACACACACACACACACACAAGACCCCCTCAAATTGCATTTCTTCGAAGATCTCTTTTCCCAAACCAGCCCATAGACTTTTAGGTTTTTGTACACTTTGCACACATTTGAAGGAATCATTGGACTCTTTTCCCTCAAAGGAACCAACAAATTCCAACAAAAATCTCAAATCCCATTCAAATTTTCTTTGTTCTTAAAACTCTTCCTGGTATCTCTACCTCAACCTCCTAAATACATAATCCCCATACCTGTTTCTCTTTTTTCTTACTGGTCCTGGGCACAGGAAACCATCCATGAGAACTGAGGCATGTTAAAAGCTTTGCCTACTTTTCATTGCCCTCTCTGGGCCTGATGTCTGGATTTTCTCAGTTAGTGTTGTCTTCTGGTGAAATTTCTCATCCCTGAAGATAGTGGGCTACAATTAACTGATTAAGCTCCTATCATGCCCTGGACCACAAGCTGGAAATCACTTGCCTCCGAAAAGCTGAGGCAATGGGTGAATAAATCGTGATGACCCAAGAGGAAAGCTATCATCTTTGCCACGCAGGGAGGTAAGGTCTGAGTGGCATCGGGGGTTGAGGCAGTGGTCCTTGAGGTTCTGAGGGGTAAGAGAAGTCAAAAAGGTTAGGGGCATGGACAAGTTCCATAAGTGGCACTGGGCTAGGGAAGACGTTCTTAACTTGTGGGTCTCAACCCCTTTGGGGGTCACCTAAGACCATTGGAAAACGCGGATATCTACATTACAATTCATAACAGTAGCAAAATTACAGTTATGAAGTAGCAGTGAAAATAATTTTATGGTTGGGAGTCACCATAGCTTGAGGAACTGTATTAAGGGGTCACAGCCTTCAGAAAGTTGAGAACCTCTGGGCTAGATGGCTTCCCTGAGTTTCCCCATAAATAGATCACATAAAGATGAGGAAGGCCCAGCTGACATGAGCCAAGCCCTGCCGCTATGGTGTGAATGCGTTCCTTCTGAAACTCTGGGCCTTTAAAAGGTGATTGAGCCAGCAAGGGCTCCTCTTTTGTTACTGGGATTAAGGGCCTTATGAAAGATGCTTCCTACAAACAGCTCACAAACATGTGAACAAAAAAACCAGGCATATCTTCCACTATCTTTCACTTGCACTCTTCAAATCAAAACTACTTTGAGATTCCATCTTATCCCAGCCAGAATAGCTATCAACAAATAATTGAATGAATAAGTGATAAAGACTGGGAAGGGGGAGGGGGAAAGGGGTCTTTATTCACTGTTGGTGGGACTGTGAATCTAGTTCTGTGTGTTAGTTACTTTTCTACTGTTGTGACAAAACACCATGATCATGGCCACTTAAAAGAAAACATTGAATTTGGGTTTATGGTTTCAGGGGATTAGAGTCCACGATTGTGGAGTAAAGGTACAGCAGAGAATTTACGTCTTGATCCATAACCACTAGGCAGAGAAAAAGTACTGGAAGTTCCCAGAATCTTTTGAAATCTCAAAGCCCAGTGACACATCTCCTTCAACAAGGCCACATCTCCTAATCCTTCCTAAACAGTGCCACCAGCTGGTGACCAAGTACTCAAATATATGCATAAGCCTATGAGGGCCATTCTCATGCAAACCACAACATTTAGCCACTACAGAAAACAGTGCAGCAGCTTCTTGAAAAAACAGAACTTCTGTATGATCCAGTTATAGTTCTGCATATTTAGATGAAGGAAAGAAAGTCACGAACAACAGAGATACACACCAATGTTTATCACAACACTCTTTATAGGTGGCCAAGGTGCAGAACCAGCAGAACCAGCCTAGGTGTCCATCAACTAATGAAGTGATAAAGAAAATGTGGTATTCACACAGAGAGAGAGAGAGAAAGAGGAGAGAGAGAGAGAGAGAGAGAGAGAGAGATAGATAGATAGATAGAGAGAGAGAGAGAGAGAGAGAGAGAGAGAGAGAGAGAGAGAGAGATTTGTTTAGTTATAACAAGAATGAATCAGCCGGGCAGTGGTGGTGCACGCCTTTAATCCCAGCA